TTTCTGGTATCTGGACCTCAAAAAAGCTACCAAATGGATCATCACCAAACAGTGTGAGTATTTAGTATGTTAAATGCAGACATTTTAAAGGGTAAGATGCTTTACTGCATGGGGTTTTGGTGGGGGTGGAGAGGAAGTAGGGGACTTGTGAAGGAACAGGAGAAATATTCTCATCTGTTCTTAACAGCATATGAGACTCTGGGCTTTGCTTTTGAATCGCTGCTTCATTTTTTTAATTTCAATATGTGAACTTAAATGGTGAAGCAATACTGTGGGTAGGGTCCAGAGAGGCAGGACTCCTGCAGTGGCCCAGCCCTGCGTTCCCACCCTCTCCTCCTGTGCATTGCTTCTCACCCAGGGCTGGAGCCTGTCCACTGGGTTTCATCACATGAAGGAAAAGGGGTTCAGGATGTCCACGAGAATCCCCAGAGTCCAGAACTGATGGTGAAAGCCTGTGTGGCCAATATATATATCTTTGGAGCAGCTTGAATACTCCCTCCCTGCTCCCTTTAAATACTTGCATCGAAAAATACAGGGTTTGGTCGGATTGCTCAGACCCCTGCTTAGACAGTGTTTGACCCAGTGAGTCCCTGGTCCCTCAGTGCTTCTGTTGCCACTGCTTTAAAAGCACAGAGAGATTTTTTTACCAGTCCCCCAGCCTTTGTCACCCCCTTGGTGCCTCTTCCACGCCCCTTCTGTGTCCACAGACAAGACCAGCACGGTGCTGCTGGAGTACAGGGCTGGCAGGAGAGCGGTAAGAGGAGACCAGTAGCAGGGGGTTTCAGGTGCTCTCCAGGGACATGAAGTGATTTCAGCTCTGCCCTGGGTTAAACAGGATTTAAATAATGACTTTTCCTTTCCCTCAGCTGCTCTGTTCCACTAAGTTCTCTTCACCAGACCCTCTCTCCTAGTCTTCCCCCTGCTGATGAGCGCTGCGTGCTCTTCACGTGGTGACATGACCCATGCGTTCGTCTGTCCTTGCGTTAGAAGTGACTGTCCCCTGAGCCAGAGTGGAAAGCCTGCGGTTTATATAAACCTGGGGCTTGGAGGCACTGATTAGGTTCCTGGGAGGCCTTAGCAATGACTTCTTGCATCTTTATGCACCCATTTTTTTACGCTTTCTGCATCAAATATCACTATAAGCAAGAGTGGGTTAGCAGGGTTTAATAACGCCTAACATCTCCCACAGTCTTGGCTGGCGCTCTGGCTAGGTTTGCTTTGTAATAAATGGCTGTGCCTCACAAAGGGGAAAGGAGCCCCTCTAAAAATGGATAGAGAAGAATGTCTGTGCGTGTGCATCTGCCTGCGTCTTGCTTGCACATGATGCCTTGCTCGTGCCTTGGGCTTGCGTTTTGGCTTGTAGTTCATTAGCAAGGGAAACCTTGCTGGCACGGTGGTTTGGGGTTTAAAACCCTTACATTGTCAGGCCCTTCTGGCGCTAATGGAGCCTGACAGTTCTGGGAAGCAGGACTTGTATTTCACAACGTGCCTGACATTCCTCTCTTGTGCAGGTTGGGAGGTGGCTGCCAGCCACTCTGTGTTAGGGCTGGAGAATATTTCTCAGCTGAAAAGGTAGAGCTGCTGGCAGGATCCTGAAATGCAGGGGCTAGCCAGCGAAGGGACACCAGTGGGGTGATGGGGACCTCCCCGGATCAGGAGGACTTCAGGTCCAGGGGCAGAGGAGGCTGAAAGGGGACAGTGGGGTGAGCTCAAAGGTCTGCATCTGAGGACATCGGTGAGTGCTCTGGGTGTTGGAGACAGTCCCCTAGGGTGGGAAGGGAAGAGGCTTAGTTCTGTGTTCAGTGGTGCAGGGGAAAGGAAGCCTGGAGGGTTTGAGGTGTGTGTAACGGGACCTGGGTGGAGTTTAGGTACCAGAGGGTCCAACTGTGGTTGTGAGGGACCTTTGCTCACCTGAGACCTCAACCTTCAATTCCAGAGACACCAGTGCCGGGTGTCCTGAGTCCAAATGTGCTGGCTGCATAAGCTGTTTCTAGATTCAGCCCATTTCTGGAGCGTTCTTCAATTCACCTCATGGTCGGGCTGAGCTCAAAAATAGGGCTCCCTAGAAAAGCCCATTTCTCTGCCTTGTCTGCAAGAGTAGCCGTGGGCAAGAAAGCTCAGGTAAGGCTGTTTGCTGGTGTCTGAAGTTGTGAGATTTGTCCCGCCCATCTATGAGTTTGAGTCCTTCAGTCTCAGACCCCACACCTTAGCTACAAGATCAGGTGTCTCTTCCCATCTTGTGGAGGCTGCCAGGGTTCCTCACCCATCACAAAGGTGCTCCGCGCACCCCTTCTCCCCAAGCTCTCACTCCCCACCCATACCCTCCAGATGGAGACAGCTTCTCTAATTCAACCAGCTCACTCAGGGGCAGAGCTCACACTTGTTTTGGTCCTGATGGGACATGGTGCCACCTGAAGGCACGTAAATGTGGAATTAACAGGTTTGCAAATGAGCCGTTCTTGCCAGAGCTGGCACTTGAGTGTTTGTGTTTCAGCCTTGGGGGTAAATGCTGTGTGGTTTGTCTCTTCCCAAACTGTGGCTCCAGGCTGCCTGCTGACCCGGGAAGACAGCACTACCACTGTTCACATCTCACCACCCTCACCAGCTTAGGCAAAAGAAACACCAGCATCATTATTTTTACCTTGAAATCTGAAGTACCTGATTGCATGTGTGCAACCCAGGACATACCACCTCCAACGCAGCCGTGATGCACATGTTCCTGAGCCAGATCTGGGTTTCTACACTCCGCTGAGCTGGTGCCTGATCTTGCTGTAGCTCCCTCTGATCTGGCTCAGGGATGCTGGGTTGCTGTGCTGCTGTGGATCTGAAGAGCAGATGGAAACTCCTTCTGCCTGCTAAGCCAGGAGGACTGAGAGGGACACGTTGCTTCCTTCATGGCCTGTACTTGCTTTCAGCTGAATTCTTGCTGCAATTTGCTGTATTGGATTTCTTCCTTCGTGAAGCCAGAATAGTTCAGAGGCCTCAGAGACAGTCTCCTGCCTATTGGGTTACTCCCCTTGAGCACATCTTGGAATGTAAAGGGGAAAATGCCAATTACTTTAAAATGCTTTAGAATTGCAAAGCTCTAGCTGTATTTCTGTGTTGGTACAGAGAAGCTGGGCATTTGTAAGCCAGCCAGCCCCTTTGTGATTTAGGGGATGCAGCCCATTGAAAGCTAATTGAAACTGGGCTCTCAGACAGCTTTGCTTTAAAAATTAAAAAGCCTCAGTGGTTTCCCCTCTCCCCCCCACCTTTTCCCCTCCAAAGCACCTTGGATCCTCCCACTGAGGAGGCAACCACCACAGCCCAATATTGCTGCTGAGGTTGCAGAAGAGGGCAGGACTGTGGCTGTGGAAAGCCCAGCAAATGCAGGGTTGCTTGGGTGTTTCAAGGGCTTTTGGGAATGCATCCTTCTCTGCCAGAAGAGTCCAAGCGAGTGGGCTAGCTCTGGGACCTTGCATATCTTAGACGGCTGGACCCTGTCTCAGCTGAATTTGCACTCTCCCCTTTTCCCGGAGTCTGAATGCACGTGTGGAGGTGAGCCAGTCTACTACCTGTGATGGACTCATGAACTGCCAGCCATGGAGTGATCTTCAGCTTGTGGAGAGCCCCCACGATGCCCTGGATAGCTGCCTGCAATGCTGAGGCAATGAAAAAATGTTAAGAAATAATGTTTCCGTTTTCCAGTGAGAAATTTAATTAGAAGGAATTAAAAGATATAGTTTATAGTTTAATTTAATGTGATGAAAAAAGGATTAGCTCCCTCCCCTCCTACCCAAATCCCAGCCTAAGATGATGGCAGCCTGGCCTCCACTTGCATCCGACAGCCACAGAAGGGAAACGTTTACCAAGAAGAAAAGGGAGAGAAATTCCACCCCAGATTTATGACTTGCGAAGCAGAGGTTGTGCGGGTAGCCTTATTTTATGTCACGCTGGCTCCCACAGACTCAACTTTGTTGTGTGCCTGGGAATAGGCTGAAAATTGATTTTTTTTTTTTTTTTTTTTTTTTTGGCTGCTTTTGCAGGTCACCTGTGTGCTCAGGTGCTATTTTGGGCCACTGAGGCTCTTGGTTGTGTGTACGTGGCGAAGTGTGTGTTCAGATGTGGGGAGCGTATGCTTGTCCCTGCAAGGTGGGCTTTTTCCCTCCCAGACAGTTTCCCCTTTTTGGCATTTTTTTTTTTTGGCTAGTGACAGTGATTAGGAGCATCAGGCAGAAATGAATGGGAGGGGTTTGGCTCCAAGGACATTGGCATCGTAGGGTTTCCCCCCACCGTACTCAAGCCAGTTGGGTGGCAGGTTCTGGTGCACAGGAGAAATGCTCTGCCTGGTGGCCCCTGGCCCAGCCCTTCTCTATCATAGACTTTCCAAAGCAAACATCTGCTGTTGAGGGGAAGAACCCAGATGTGGCTTCTTCCTTCAGGATCTGTCAGGCTCATGGCGCAGCCCAATACAAGGGAGCTTTCTGCACCCTCTCAGCCCTGGTGTTTTTGCCCTGAAACAACTTCTGTTGTTGACCCTTGAAGATCTCAGGGCTTCAGCAGAACCAGGAAGACTTACAGCACTGGGTAGCAGCATAGTTGTGCTGATTATCTTTGGTTGTGCCATTTATTTTGCTCAGAGGCAAGAGAAGGGGATAAGAGCCCTCCTCTGAGGTGTCACAAGGAATCCTTCTCCTGTCATCCTGGTCATGCCTTGTTTCTGCACCAAGGGGTAAGCTGGTCACCAGAGCTAGGACCAGGATGGAGATCTCCTCCATTTACTGGAATTCTGGGAAGCAATATGGCAGGATCTAAATGGGTCGGCTGGGAGGCACGTGAGGCCAGACCAAATCGCCCAGTGATCTCATAAGCCCCTAATCCTACTGTAGTATCTACACTTGGTGACAATGTGCTGACGGCATTCTCCCCAGGTGCTGCACCAGAGGCATCCAGGACACACGGGAAGAGCATGCCCAGCCATTGCCTGCCCCGGTACTTCCCCGAAAGTGCAGCACTGGGAAATGGGCTGTGGGACATGCAATGAAGTGCAGATGCCACCTTTGAAAATGCATCCAGCCCTGGAGGATGGCAACTATGCCTGCTGCATTATTTTGGTCTCTCTCTACCCTGTGCTGGATAAGGTGGAGAAGGCAAAGGTGATGTGGAAACACCACCTTCAGCCTTACAGGGAAATCACCATACCTGTTCAGGTATGGTGACAACCTTCTCCTTGAAGCCAGGGAGAAAACAGACATGAGTCTCCTTCTCCAAGGAAAATGGGTCTTTTTCCAGCTTTTGAAGAAGTGCAAATTTCTTTTAAAGAAAAGCATTGGTAGATTTTTTTTTTTTCCCTCTTCTCTTTTTACAACTTTTTCCTGTATGTGAAAAGGCCAGGTGATTTCTGTCCTTTTCAGTACTGGAAGTACTTCCAGGTGTGCTGGCTCTGCAGAGGGAGAGGACAAGGCCAGCATTAACTGCTGCCGGTCCTGCATCCTGCAGGTGAGAGGCTTCCAGAGATGGCAGAGGACGTGGTCTCCCTGTGTGGAGGCATCGCTTACTCTTCTCTGCAATCCAGAGCAGCTACAACCCCATGGGCTTGTGGTCATGTGCTAAGGCATGGTTGCTTTTCTGAGGGATGTGGAGGCGTGCACGAGCGGGGTTAGGTGCTCGGCTGCTGGAGCAGGATGGGCCTGGAGACCTCTCCTGCAGGATGTGTGGCTGAGGAAGCTCCCCACTCTCTCCTTCCTCCCAAGAGGATTTTGTAGAAGCAACGACCAGACAAATTTACCCCGGGGGGGCATATGCCTGTCTTTACTGCAAGGTCTATTAAAGGTTAGCAGCATAAATAACACAGAGAAGGAGGAACTACTTTCTACACAGGAGAAACTACTTAAAAACCTAAAATAACTGACACAACACCAAAACTGAGACAAACAGGAGGAATTTAATTTTTCTGAGAGAAATCGCAGATATAGTCCAGGTGTCCAGGGTATACCAGGACCTGTAATCTCTCCACCTCCTGATGAACCACTTTTAGGGAGGTCTCGTGCTGCAATGCTGTGGAAGGGAATGGCCCTTGGTTTCCATCTGGTGTAACTGCTTTTGTTTGAAAGGCTAATTATGGATGTAAATTCCTCCCTCCCCCAGTGGCCAGAAGAGCCTGTTCCAGATGACCGGGATATAAACCGAAAGGACTTCTATTGATTTAATGGAAAAGGCATATTTTAACAGAGCTCTTTTTGTTTCAGAAGACTGACTCGGTCTAGAAGGAAATGGATGGGAAGTGTTACAGGCGAGCAGCATGGAGGAGCTGCACAGTATCTCTCAGTTCCTGGGCCGGCAGCCTAGCCACAGGGACTGTTTTCTGGCTAACAGCCTTATGTCAGACTAGGTTGGTAGCAAGAGGTGCTTAATTTCTTCTGTGCTTTCAGGTTTCTCTGCTTTTTGGAACAGCATCTGCTGATGCTGGAGACCAAGTGTCGGCTGTGCTTGGGAGGAGCTGGGGATACACGGCATATTGCAGAGCTGTCTGGGAAGGAGACACTGTTTGGAGAAGAAGCAGTTGCTCCAAGCAAGAGGTTCCAAGCTGGTCTGGCTTTAACCTCAAGAGGAAAAAGGAAATCTTTCTGTCCAATTCAAATAATCTCGGCAATACTTCAAGTGCACGTTATAAAGCTGAAAACTGGAGTCAACCTGAGGTAGGTCCTGGGTCAGCATCAGTGCATGGAGGGTAGGAACGCACAGGTGAGAACCAGAAGTGACACTGATGGATTGTGAATGAGAAGCCAGAACACAGAGCTGCTGGGCCTTGTCTCATCACATTCCCCTAAAGGCAGACAAGCAGCCTTTAACCATTTGCATGATGTGGTTGGTTTGTTGTTGTTTTTTTTTTTTTTTTTTTTTTTTTTTTTACTGGACAGACGGCAGTGGGAAGCAAAAGAGCCCAAGATGCTCCTGTCCACAGTACCAGGCTTACTCCATTGACCATCACACCATCACAGTTGTCTGTGCTGCAGTTCTTATTGTAAAGATAGGTGGGAAATAAATGAGAGTGCTGTTTTCATGGTTCTCAGCTACTATAAAGTCTGAGGATGTGGAGAACAAAGAGCGACTCCTCCAACAACTTGAAGTGTCTTGTGAGTCTGGAGACTGGGCATCAGAAAAATGGCATTAGAGTCAAGTATGTTTGAAACAGACAGTTCCAGAAAAGCACTCAAATGGTTAAATGTGTGTATAAAAATGTACATAAATTGTATCATAGGGAGAAAGGCGAAAGTAAACAGATTGACAACAAATAGTGAATATAAAAAGGCCACAATGAACTCCTCTCTCCTGGCCTTCATTTGCACAGGTATTAAAGTCTGTAAATTTGGGAAACTGGAACAAAGTGCTTGTAAAAGTTAAGTGTTTCAACATATATGGTAACCTGAGAATAATTGCTAAAATAGTGTGTTTTGACTTTGTGTCAACACAGAGGGAGATAGGTAGCTAAAGACATCCTCAACCCACTGGTACTTGTGTCTAGAAAGTCCCACGTGGTACTGGGAAATGATGACTTTAGACAAAAGGTAAAGCTAGGCAAGAGTGAGCTTGGTGAGCTCTCACCTGGCATATCTCACTCCAGCTTCTACTGGAGCAAGCTGAGACCTCATTTTTTTTCACACTGGTTTTATAGTCGTGTTGGTTCACAGAATCATAAAATCATTTAGGTTGGAAAAGACCTCATCAAGTCCAACTGCTAACCTAACACTACCAAGTCCACCGCTAAACCATGTCCCTAAGCACTATGTCTACATGTCTTTTAAATACCTCCAGGGACGGGGACACAACCACTTCCCTGGGCAGCCCGTTCCAGCACTTGACAACCATTTTGGTGAAGAAATGTTTCCTAATATCCAATCTAAACCTCCCCTGGTGCAACCCCAGTTCCCTCAGCTGCTCCTCATCAGACTTGTGCTACAGACCCCTCACCAGCTTTGTTGCCCTTCTTCTCTGGACACGCACCAGTGCCTCAATGTCCTTCTTGTAGTGAGGGGCCCAAAAATGAACACAGTATTTGAGGTGCAGCCTCACCAATGCTGAGGACAGGGGAAGGATGACTTCCCTGGTCCTGTTGGTAACACTATTTCTGATGCAAGCCAAGATGCCATTGGCCCTCTTGGCCACCTTGGCACACTGCTGGCTCATATTCAGTTGGCTGTCAACAAGCACTCCCAGATCCCTCTTTGGCAAGCAGCTTTCCAGCCACTCATTCCCAAGCCTGTAGCATTGCATGGGGTTGTTATGACCCAAGTGCAGGACCTGGCACTTGGCCTTGTTGAACCTCATACAATTGGCCTCAGCCCATCGATCCAGCCTGTCCAGGTCCCTCTGCAGAGCCCTCCTCCCCCAGAGCAGATCGACACTCCCACCCAATTTGGTGTCATCTGCAAACTTGCTGAGGGTGCCACTCAATCTCCTCGTCCAAGTAATTGATAAAGCTATTAACCAGAACTGTCCCCAATACTGAGCCCTGGGGAACATCACTTGTGAACGGCCGCCAACTGGATTTAACTCCATTCACCATAACTCTCTGGGCTTAGCCATCTAGCCATCTAACCCTGTCATCATGTGACTCACTGCTTAGTGCAGCATGTCCATCTGCACTGCTAAATCTCTTTTGTTTTGTCATATATACAGCCACACCTGGCTCTGTGCATTGTCTCTCCAGAGATTTGGAAGAAGGAGAGATAGGACAAGAGAGGAACAAATTTCTCCCTTTTACGTATCAGTTAATGTGGAATTCTTCTGCAGCTGATGTGGAGCTCATCTGTCTTTCAAGATTGCCCTTGCTGTGTTATATTTAGCTGTAAAACCCAACTGTGCTTGGATTTCCCTCTGCAGTTCCTGCAGGAGGGATTTTCTTCCTGCCCTGTTTAGCATCCTTCCCAGATTTCACTCCATTGTGCTCACCTCTTGCAGGTCAGTGTCTTCACTGAGAGTTACAGTTGGAGTGGGAAAGAGAAGAGGATAGATTTTATTTTGGTTGGACAAAGATGTATAGCCCTTCCTGGGGTGTGCAGCTTGATGTAGCAGAAAGGTTTATTTGTTCATGCTGCTTGTTGCTCCTGGCAGGGTAGGAGCTGAATAAAAGTACCTCTCTGTCCCAAAAGTTTGGGTCTTCAGCAAACACCCATGGGTCCAAACAGAAAGCAAAGGGATAGCTGTTTTGGAGGATGCACCGAGACCTTGATTTAAAGTGATCCTGAGCAGTCTGGATGCCAGGAAGCTGCTGAACAGAGAGGAGCCAGAGGAGATTTTCCAGCAGTGACAGGTTTTCACTGTGATGAAGCTGTGGCTGTCACCATGCATGGGTGGAGTGGGACAAGACAGAGGAGAGCAAGAAATGCCCCCTTGATGGCCTCAGCATCCCTGTTGGGGTTCCTGGTGGCCACAGGGGCAGCTCAGCTGAGGAGCACCTCGTGCTGGAGACCAACCCTGGAGCCAGGAGGAATTCCTGGACCACCCAGCGTCTGCACTTTGTAGGTAGCCCTGCGCCGATCAGGTAGCCTGGGAGGAAGGAAAGGTGTTCTCATCCAGTTTTAGTGCTCCCTGTCTCTCAGCTTTCTATTCCTGTCCACATAAGTGTCAAGAAAGGGCTGGTTTTAAGTTTGTTAGATGGAGGGCTGTAAACTCAGAGCCCGCATTAATAGGATACTTGTCTTTCAGAGCCAAAATGGAGGGTGAGAGACCAGGGTCTCTTGCAGCTAAATACTGTTCTATTGTGCTGTGTTTTATATCTGCTGGTAGGAGCGACCAAAAGCTGTGTGGGAATGCGCGTTAAATGTGTTATTTCATTAAAATGTCACTTTCTCAAGTATCATGCGCTGTATTTGCACGGGGCTTGCGGGCTCTCAGTATGCGACTGTGGAGAGCAACTGGAGCATAGGACCACCCGAAGGCATCCAGCTGCTTCCAATGCAGTCCTGCGGAGGGGGGACAGCCAGCGGTGGAAGGCGCGTGCAAACTTCCACTGCTGGTCTCAGCATCCGCATCCGCTGCCACCCGGGCTGGCTCTGCTGGCGGCTGGGCTTTGTGCAAAGGCCACTGTGTGATGCTGGTGTCTCCCCAGGGGGAGAAAAGCTTGCTTGGGGAGGGAAGGAGCCCCTCCAGAAGGGGCAAAGTCCTTCCCAGGTTCATGAAATCAGAATGGCTTGATGGCCATGTGGGGGTGAGTCCCAGTCACCTCCTGGTGCTTCTGCAGAAGCTGGAAAGCAGCTCTGCTGAGAGGGACCTGGGAGTCCTGGTGGATGACAAGCTGACCATGAGCCAGCAGTGCGCTCTTGTTGCCAAGAAGGCCAATGGTATCCTGGGATGCATTAAGAGGAGTGTGGCCAGCAGGTCGAGGGAGGTTATCCTCCCCCTCTGCTCTGCCCTGGTGAGACCCCACCTGGAGTACTGTGTCCAGTTCTGGGCTCCCCAGCTCAAGAAAGATAAGGAACTCCTGGAAAGAGTCCAGAAGAGAGCAACTAGGATGATAAAGGGACTGGAGCATCTCCCCTATGAGGAAAGGCTAAGGGAGTTGGGCTCGTTCAGCCTGAAGAAGAGAAGACTGAGAGGGGACCTCATCAACACATACAGATATCTTAAGGGTGGAAGTCACGAGGATGGAGCCAGACTCTTTGCAGTGGTGCCCAG